AAAACAAAACAAACCCTCCACAAACTAAGCAAATTACAGAAGCAAAACAAAATATTAAAATAAGATAGTAAAACAGAACTATACCCTTTCTGCCCCCAAACCTCACAATCAAATCCAGTCTTGCCCACCCTTACCCCTCATGCTCCTCTGCATCTGACGAAAGAGAGTACACCTCTTCTCAACCAAACCTTACTTCCCAACGCCGGTTCACCACAAAAGAACCCATATTTCCCCATATTCCCTCTCAACCCTACCCACTCCTACTCCCCTCATGCTTAGGGGAATTCCCCCCCCCCCCCCTTACTGTCTCTCCCAAGCCTGTATCTTTCTCTCACGTGGGGGTTCTGGCTGTTCCTAAAACCTACTCGTCCTCTTCCCCTTGAAGGAAATGCAATTAAAATAAATTTCAGTTAAAAAATTAGAACAAACAATGCAATAGCCCCCCCACCCTTCCCCACACACCCTTTCATTGTTTCCATGCAGTGTCAGTGTTTATATGCCTCTCTGATTTTTGATTTTTCTTAAATGAAAGAATAATAGAAAAAAAACACACAGCATGGACATTTTTATGGTTGTATTCAGAGTCAAGAAAACATGAAAACTGAGTTTGCAACACCAGTCTAACACTAGTTTGCATAGTCAAGTTTTATGTATTTTCCAGTTTCCACTGCTGTTAATGTGTGTGGCATATTTAAGCAGAAACAAGTAATACAAAGTGCTCAGAAGTGCTTGAGAAGAAGGATGAGAGGAAGAGTGGCTAGACCTTTGGATTTGGCCTTGGGACATGCACATTCAGTTCATGGCTTAGCCAGAATGTTTTGTCTGACTTTTGGACCAGTCACTTAACTGACCTTGCCTTTTGGATTCCTTTTTGTAAAATAGGCATGGTTCTGCTTTCTTCACAAGGGTGTTATGATCACAAAATCCATTAATAAATGTGATGTGCGTAGATGGTCTTGAGTACCTAGATAATTGTTCATGGGCAATATAATATTGTTCCCGGAATTGTAATTTTTCATTTTATAGACTCTTACCATAGGGCCAAAAGGTACAATTATAAGCTTGTTTCTCTTCCATAATGTACATCAGTTAATTGCCCTGGTCTATTTTTATTTTTTACTAACTGAAATATTAATGTGTAAATGTCTTTGCATTGCTTTTTGTTTTAAATGAGAGAGAATTAAGCAGCACAGGCAATTTTAACTGTTAATCTTTGTGTGACCCCAGTTATTTCAGAATTATTTTATTGAAGTGAATGGTGTCCAAAAAGACTGCTCACTTTTGTTCTTTTGTCTGTCTGGAGTAAAACTTCTACTAGGCTGGTTTAACAAGACAGCAATATATAATTCTGGTTATTATATTGTACCAGAAGGAAAGTGATTTTTATTATTTTTGGTTTGGGGTGGTGAGTGGGGATGTTAAATGAAAGCAGAGAATTCAAGAATGCAGTGATCCCTTTTGACATCTGCAAAAATTTCCCTGCCTACGTACTATTCTTCCCCTCTGAAAACCTCCCCCCCAACAACCTATGATTAAGTAGGATATTACCTTCCTTTTAAAAGTAAACTGTGCTGGGATCACTCCCCCTCCCAACCCAGTCAGCCCTGCATGCCAGCTGGAAAGAACATACAGTGATGTCACAAAGGGACTGGATTTAGTTTGTCTGTAATGTCTTACTGCATGCAGATAAGTGTCTGGCTCAGCTATGATTTTTTTCTAGTTGTTGTTTTTTTGATATTTATGTCCAAACCAAGAAAATATACTCATCTTCACTGAAGACTGTTCATGCCAAAACTAAAGCTTCAAGTAGCCATTACAAATAATATTTTGTTAGCCATTTCTACCATGTTCACCATGTAAAAAGCATGTTTTGTCTGACCCACCACTTCCAGATGGGTGCAGTTTACTCCAAGAAATTCCATCTTTAGGCTGAAGTAAAAATTTTGGGGTACAAGGTGAATGGCTTAGAAATTATTAAGTGTATGAAGACAGGAATAGAAACGTAATGAAAACTATTTTTTTTTAAGGGCACACCTACATTGCCTCCATGCTGCTCAGGGAGTGCTGTGGAGAAACCATACTGTCCACACACTCCAGTTTGGCACATACAAAAGCAGAGAGCCTGAGGTACCATAACTGCCTGAGGGTGTACCTGAACATATATCTAGAAGCATTTGCAAAACAATCTGAATGCAGGGGTTAGTGAACTTACCCACTGCTGAAGTGTAAAGTTTGGGGCTTCACAAAGCCATTGCAACATGCTCAGGTAGAGCCAGTGTTGGTTGAGCTGCATGGTGGGTTGCTACTGCCTGGATACTAGCCTGGAACCTGGGAGTCCTGGTGCCAGTTTGGGCTTTGTTAGTAACTAGCTGCATGTCCTTGGGAAGTCCCTTCCCTTTGGTCCCATCTCTTCAGAGCATGAGGTCTTGGGGCCAGGAGCTGACTCTCACCCTGTGGCTAATTTCTGGCATTTTGTGTGATGATGATGAGTGGAAGTAAAACGTGCAGGACATGCTACTACCCTCAGGCACGTAAGAGCATAAGAAGTGCCATAGTGGGTCAGACCATTGATCCACTTAGCCCAGTATTGTGGCTTTGACAGTGGCAGCAGTGGATGCTTTAAAGGGTAGAACTGGGTATACCTAGTATGATCTATGTCCTGTTTGTTACCCTCCCAGGCAGCCACCATCATTAATTTAGAGATGCCCACTGTTGGTTTAGAGATGCATGATGTAATGACATAAATATTTACCAGAGTCCTTTACATCTAATAATCTTAAAGAGTTTAAGATATATTACAAAGTACAGACTTTAGAAATAGAAATCACTTTGGTCATCAATGAAATGTGGTTGCTTTTAGTATGAAAGTCATTGCCAGTTCTTGAACAGTTCAGAACAGTGGATATTGTTGCACATATTAAATGTAAAGTGTGCATTACAAAGGCAGGATACAAGTTTTTGAATTTGAACTTAGTTGCCAAACCCGAGTCAATACCCCTATTCTTGGTTTGGGGGAAAAAAGAGATCTTGAGTTTTTAAGTGCAGTTGATTTCAGAATTAAGTGATAGGAATGCCTGCTGCCATGTCTTTACTAACCTTTTAGATGAGGGCCTAAAAGTAAAAACATGGGAAAAGTGAGGGTGGGCTACTTTTTTCTATAGCATTAGGCTTGGTCCTGTTCCTGGCACTCTGGAAGTATGTAACCAATGATTTTTGTGCCATTGTAGTTGCAAACTATTGCCAGTCATCTCTGGGATTTTGGGGCTGTTTTTTTAACCTATGGTATGAAGTAGGGTGCTTTCGGTTTTGTAATTTGCTCTGTGGTTTGCAGTGGATGGAGTTGGATTATTTTTAGGACTCTTTGGATAAATGTTTGCTTGAGAACACAGGGGATTAATGGCCTAAGAGGTCCCTTCTAGTCCCATGTTTCTAATACCTAGAATTAATTGCATCAAGTAGCTCAACTTCACTGCTCTCTTCCTGACCCCGAAAAGATACCTTACTCACATATACCACAGAAGAGTCTGTTATAGAGTAGGGACTTAAATCAGGGAACCATGTGAATATCCTGGCCACTACTGTTTTAAGGCATGAATATGTGCGGTGTTTCTGGTTTTGACCAGAAAGTCTGTTGTGGGCTTGAGATATTTGCTTGATTCAAATTTCATTGTAACTGATGCTTTCTTCTCTGCTGAACGATGTTTGAAAAAATCCTGACCAGTTGTAATTGGGTGTTACACCAAATTGGTCCTTTCTACCAGTACTCAAAGGAAAGATGCATAGTCATGTACTGCATGTTCTGTGTTTAGTCTATTGTGAATAATTTCTACTGTGTTATCACTTAAGATTCCTTGATAAAGTTTTGTTTCCATTTTTTCTTTAAAGATCTTGGGATATGAGTAAATTCCTGAATATCCAGTGTCGTATTAGCCATATCAAATATCCCTCTTTTGCCAAAAAATGGATCAATATCCGCAAATCGTACGGCAACTTCTACAAGGTTTGTATGGAGATTTGTTTGTTTTTCTGGGAAAATTGAGTCTAAATAAAAATAATATATATGAGTCTTGCACAAAGTCTTATTATATTATGCCATGACCTTCCAATTTTTGTTGTTTAATTAACTTTTGAACATGCTCAGTGTCCTGAAATCCCATTTAATTCTTGAAAATTGTTCTACCTATTTCGGTGCTTAAATATAGATTTAAGAGCTTAACTTCTAGTCTCCTACTTAAAAATCTCTGAACATATTTTCACAGTTCCCATTTTAAGTAATTGTTTACAGAGTACTGATGCTCCTAGATTTGTGTGCACTAGAACTAGTTCCTCCAGGTAGGCTGTCTAGATTTAGTAATGCTGTTGCAATCATTGCTTTACATCTTCAGCACTACACTAAAGAGCTTAGTCTCACAATTCTCATGTTGTAGGTAAGTATCCTTATTTGTTTTAAGACTGAGGATCATGGGGAAAATGAGGTGAAAGAGAAAGCTGCACAAGTCACTCTGAGCTAGAATTAAAATTGGGAGTACCAAACTCGGACGTTGGATCTTAGTATTGCTTTTGTGTTCTGATGAGCCTGCCGGAAGTTCTGCTGAGTTTAGATTCTAACTCAGGGGCAGGCAATTATTTTGGGTGGAGGGGCGCTTACTGAGTTTTGGCAAGTCATCAAGGGCCGCATGACAGCCAGTCAGGGGCAGATAACTATTAATTTTGTAAATGTTTAGGGGTCTTGCGGGCTGGATAGGATGGCCTGGTGGGCTGCATTTGCCCACCCCTGGTCTAGCTCTTGCGGTCTAAGTAGAGCTTGAATCATCATCTCATATATCTGTATGTATATCTTCAAGGATTCCTTCATATTCAATTCAGCTACTGGAATCTAGGAGAAGGGTGTTTCAGATGTCATTTTGACCCTGGTGGAAGCTTCTGTACTCATTCTCACTGTTGCCAACATTGGCAGAGCTTAAACAAGTGTTGTTAATGGTAGATACACATAGATAATATGTCTTAATAATAGGGCTGTTCTGAAGCCTGATTGTTTGCGAAGTGCTTTGATACATGAGCCAAGGTGAATGGAAGTGTTAAGCAGCATTATACAAACTGTTACTAGAATTTATGTAGAGTAAGAAAGAGTTTTTCCTATTCAGATGTTTTAAATCAGATTTCATAATATGGTTCACTTCCTTCATCAGGTTCCCAGAAACCAGACCAAGCTGACAATCATGCTTGAAAAGCTGGGAATGAACTATGATGGGCGACCTCACAGTGGACTTGATGACTCTAAGAATATTGCACGGATAGCTATACGAATGCTTCAGGATGGATGTGAGCTGCGTGCGAATGAGAGAATGCATGGTGGGCAGCTAATGACTGTATCCTCCTCTGCTCCAGTAGAGGGAGCCCCTGCTCCACAGATGCCCCATCTTAGAAACTAGCAGTGAAAGAGTGCTACATAATGAACCACTGTTGAAGACTTAGACTGCAAAGACAGCTGATTAAATGACCATTTTGATAAAACAGATCTTCAGAGCAAAATATGCGAGCACCTTAAATAGCTTTCTCTGTTTAAAATAAAGGGGATGTGAACTCTTGTTCTTTAACATTTGCGTATATGACTTTTGATACTGATGGTGTTTTTAAAAAAAAAATTATCTGGTGTCTTTTTTAAAGGTAAGGTTGATTACCGTATATAAGATCCAAGCAGGGTTTTAAGATTTTGTTTATGAAGAATAATTAATTCAAACTAAAATACCCGATTTGTTTACCCATTGCGCTCTTCTTTCCCCAGCCCACATGCTGTATTGTAAGTGTCTAACATATTGACCAACATTTGCATATGTATAGGCTACTGACAGAAGAACTGTACAGAATGTTGGCCAGATTGGTATCATTTACCTTGCCAGTTGATAGAGGCAGATAACCTCTTCTGTTCATCTAGACAAAATGGGGGCATTATTCACGGTTTTAATGGTTTTAAAATCTTGAGGGAAAAGTCTGGAGAGGAGGAGGGATGTGTGTGTGTGTTAAGAAATGTGTGTCAGTTTCCACCTCAAATAATTCTGAGTGGCGTTGGTGAAGAGCTAAGTATTAAGTAAAAATAAAACTTTTATTTGTATAGTTGCAGAATTCCTGGGGGGAGAGGGGTGGGGGCGTTATTACTTGGGGGTTTTTTTTACAGGTAGGCTTTTCAGTCATTGGGATTTTTTGTACTTCCAGGTACTGCTTTACCTATTTCTGCTCTATTCATTCCAGAATAAAATGAAGAACAATACAGCAATTTAATCTCTTTTAGAAACCTGGAATTCAGTGAGTGTGAGTGACTTAAAATGCAATGCAATATTGAAATTAATATGAAATATGGCTTAGTATGCTTTTTTCTGTCATCTGGATATTCTGTAAAAATAGTTAAGGCCAAAGATACTTACAGCTACTTGTACACAGCTATGCCAAACAGTTGTGGAAAATGTGAACTTTTATGTCAAAATCTGCTTTTGGAATTTGAACTAATTTGTTTACAAGCTGGGCCTTCCTAATAAATATTTTTTTTTTTTTTTTTTTACTGACACACAAATGGTTAGTGTTTTAATTAGGCCTAGGTCTAATTCGGTTTAGTTCAGTACGTGCTTTGACTGAGAGCATTAATTACATTGATCCTAAATTAGTGATTTGTTTTTAAAACTAAGACAGTGAATATTTGTATCATTCCAGAGTCAAAAAAAAAAAAGTTAGTTTGCCTTCCCCAAGGTAAAATTTTTCTTTATGAACTTCCTGTATACAGAATAAGTTCACTGTAATCAAGGATTTCAGGAAACAAACTGATGGTGTCTAGCTCAATTTGTAATCAGCTTTTCTATATTAAAAAATTACCATTATCTAGAGTTTTTTTCACTTTTTACTAAACACTTGAAACTAAGTATATTAAACCTAAAAATAAATCATTCTCCCTTTTTTAAATTGCATAATAGACATAAGAATCATCAGATAACAAGCTTTTTTCCCCCCTTTCAGTGTATTGGAAAACTTCTTTGAGGATGCTGTATCAAAACAGTGGTCCTTTTTATATTTTTTGCTATTCCTTTATATGAAGCTTTTTTATTTTATCACTTTAAATATATCAATTTACAACTAATAAAGTTGCTCCTTATTAGGGACCCACCAAATTTATGGCAGAAGTAGAGTGTGTGGCAGCTCCTTTAATCTTGCATGTTGCCCTGTGTGCACCTCACCCCTTGCCTCCCCCTCCCTCCCTCCCCACTGCTGCTGCTGATTAGCAGAGAGCCCCACTGCTTCCTCCTGATCAGCAGGGAAGCTAAAACAGTGGTTTTAAACATGGTGCTGTTTTTGCCTCCCTGCCAATCAGCAGTAAACAGCAGGACCATCTGGGGCCTCTCAGCTAATCAGCAGCAGGAGGCAAAAATGACACCATAATTAAAACCATGGTTTTTGCTCCTCACTGATCAGGAGCAAGCTGCAAGCAGGGCCCCTCCACCAATCAGTGGGGGGTGGGGAGGGTGCAGGGGAACCTGCAAGGTTAAAGGAACCACAGCACACCCCACTTCCACAGTGAATTCAGTAGGTCCCTACTCCTTATATAAAAGTTCAGTGCTGGTTGAACCCATTCCACATGATCAACACTTCATGATCAGTCACTGTTTTGTGCTGCTTGGCTTTCCTTTTACTATCCCAAGTGTCTGTTCGTCTGGAAACACTTGGGAATACCTGGTAAATAACATGCACTACATCATTGTGGTAAAGGTTTTTATGATTATGGCTTGGTAAACATTTGTGTCAGTCACTAATATCTCCCTAGATTTAGTTACATTTCCTTTTGTTCACATATTATGAGGCCAATGGTCCAGTGACGGCTTGATTTAGTTATAGTTCAAGTTTAATAAAAATGAAGCACATGGCAAGTTGGCATCCCTTGTTTTAAACCCATAGCTGACACTTTCAGTGAAGATATTCAGAAGTTAGTTTGAAAATGTGTTTAATGTTTTTGACTAGATTCCACTCTAGTGTGTATCTGAAGTAACTTTCTATTCAATAGATTACTGAAAGAAGAGGAGGCATTTCAGGTGTAATTTGGTGTTGGGGATTCTTCCCCATGACCTATGGCCTATTTCATAGAATTATGTTGCTGCTTGCCTTGTGTAAGGCTATTATAGCTATATTAGGCAGAACTTAATTTCACTGTTACAGATCCCTGCTGGCTATTGGTCTGGCCATTACAGATGCTGCTCATCTCAAGAGCCTGGAAAGGTATCACTAATGATGCTTCTGGAAAATTCTCTGTATCAAGTGGGAAGATAGAAGTCAGTGTTACTAATATTGAGTCAGTGATACTTGAGCACTAGCTTTGCTAGACCAGGTATTGTGTGCAGATGGCCTGACTTGTCTCCCAAAACAAGTGATCTGCCCCCAGATTAGTTACAGCCAGAGATCTCATGATGGCCAGAAGAAACATTACAAAGACGCATTGAAAGTATACCTTAAGAAAATAGATGCTGCTAAACGATTCCAGTGGCACTACAACCTCAACCAAGCAGCAGCCTACTTCGAAGAAAATTTTCTTTGTATCGGTGCTGATCTGATATTGGACCGATTGTATATCCACCACTGTTTTGAAGTGCAGGACTCTGAATACACAAGATGGTGTGGGCATTTGAGTGGCTCCTGAGAGCTGCCCTAATTAAAATGCTCTGCTACCCCCATCCTGGAGCACATGTAAAGATGCCCTGAGTTCCTTCAGGCTCCTCTGCTCTGCCACTTCCTGCAAGTTCTGCACAGAGCTGCATCTGCTTGCAGCACCTAGCTTCCCCAGCGTTCATGGATTTTGCTCCTTTTGGCTTTCTGTTTTGCATGCGGCTTCCCACATGGTCTCTGCTCCCAGTTCCCTTGCTTCCCATTCTCTGTGCAGCCTTTCCAGAGAGAGGCTGGCCCTTTACTAGTTTTCCTGCCTTACCTCTGTATTGCAGTTAGGAGGGGACTGGGTCTGTTCTTCCCTTGGAGGTGCAGAGGTCATTGGGAATAGATTACTAAGAATATAAGTTTTCTGCTTAACAGATCTGTTGCAAAATGTTGGCTATATGAACTAGCCCAGAATGAAAGGGGTAACCAGTATTAGACATGCTCCAAATACTTTTTCTCCTTGTTCAGCAACCCTCATTCCAGTTCCCCAGGCTATATCTTGCTTAAGTAAGCACAATTCATCCAAAACCAAAGTGTCTGGGGGAAAGCAAAGAACGAAGCTTTTTCCTTTGCCTTTCCGCAAAGGGCTTTAGAGGTCAGACAGACAGAAGGCTTGTTGTTTAGAAGTCATGATGTCATTTTGACGCTGGTTGGAATTGTCTGGGGGGGCTTAGCTGTCTCAACAGAGTGTCACTGCTCAGTGCAGAGATGACATGTTTCCTGCCTGCTACTGCAGCGTGAAAGCTCTCTCCCTTGAGCTGGGGAACAAGATTTGCTGTCCATCCCAGCAGATCCCACTTCAAGTTTCAGGGTTTCCAAGGGGAACTGTGCTTGGTGTATTTCACATTTCAAAGGGTAACTCATATCTGAGGGGAGCTGCTGGAATCCAGAGTACCCCTGGTGCTGCTGAAATCAGGGCCACAGGTGCTGTGTTCTGCTTGGTGTGAGAAGACCTTGTTGCCCTGAGGGGTCAGGCCAGCGCTCAGGATCTCAATATTGTGCTGTTAGACAGGAGGGCATGGTGTACAATTGCACATATACAAATACACAAATCAATTAGGCACGCATGCACACAC